GGCCGGAGGTCCTCCGCTCTTCTCTCGCGCTCCCCCCCTCGAGGGGCCTCCTGCTCCTCCTCCTGCTCCTCCTCCTCCTCCTCCTCCTCCTCCTCCTCCTTTTTCTCCTCCTCCTCCTCCTCCGCCTCCTCCTCCTCCTCTCGCTCTCCCCACCCCGATTCAGCTCATTCCCCAGATATGATCGCGTCAAAAAAACACGACAAACAATGTTCGCCGCTTTCGGCTTCTTAGGGCCCTTGCCCGGCCCGGGACCGTCAAAAACGACTCAGGATGAAGAATCGGCCCCGGGGAAAGGGTCGGGACTTCCGGGGACCGCGTATTGAAGTATCCAGACGTCGCACGTCGGGGCTCCCCGATTCAGCGTTCGCGGGGGGCGTCCAGTCCACAGGCTTGGGGAGTCGCGGCCACGCGCGCGCGGCGGCGCAGCGCTTCGGTCCAGTCGGGCGGGAAAACGCGCGCGGGCCAGAACAGCTCATCACTGCGCCGACCTTGCAGACTTGCTGCAGCGGATTTTTGCGTGGACTTATCAGGGCCACCATGTTAGACACCCCCTGGACGGCCTGGACACGTGAAAACAGTCCCACCAGCCCTCTGGGCGTCGGTGGTTTAGGGCCTTTCATCTTCCACCCCTTCCTCTTCCCCTTCGGGGAAGGGTTTACCCGTCCCCCTACCCCCTACCCGTGGACATGGACGGAGGGGGCCGCGAGCGGTCAGGGCGTCCAAAACGGCCTCGGCGAGGAAGCCAAAATCATTTTACCAGGGTTTGGGCCCCATTTTGGCCTCTTGAAGGGGCAACCCTAATTGAAGCTCCCAGATTTTTTTGATCGATGTCCTCCAAGATGGCCCCAAGAAGCGCCCAGGAGGCCCCAAGAGGCCCCAAGATGGCCCCAGGAGGCCCCAAGAGGCCCCCAGGAGGCCCCCAAGAGGATCCCAAGCGGCCCAAAGAGGCCCCCCCGAGGCACCCAAGACGCCGAAAAAACCCTCAGGACGACACTCTACTCGCCTGGGCGTCGTTTCTGGAGAGGCTAGTGGGGATACTTTTTGTCGCAGCCGCAAGCGAAGGCGCAGGCGCTGTCAAACGGGACGGGCGGGCTACGCGCGAACCGAATTGCCTAACGCGCCGGCAAACCGGAGGCCAAAGCGGCACCTAAGCGGACCGGAAGCGAGAGGTGGTGCGGGCCGCAGCTGACAGGAAACAGGTCCAGGAGCGAGCGCATGCAAAGCTCGCCAACCAAGGTTGGGGCGTAGCCAAAATGGCGCGGGAACGATACCAGGATGAAGCCAGGAGCACCATCACGTAGGACCGCAGACACCAGCTAGGCCAGGAAGAATTCACTGACCAGGACACTAGTGCAGGGAAGTGGCGCCACCAAAGTCGCCCACAACGCTGTCAAGGGGCCAATGAGGACGAGGATTAGACGTAGGATAAACCATACGAGACATCCATGCACCCAGCCCCTGAAGGGGGCACCTCGCTTGCAATACACTCCAGGAAGGAATGCTACCACCGATGGGCAGGAATACGTCGCTGACCAGGAACCAGCACGAGTGGCTCCACCGAAGTCGCACACTCACTCCTGAGAGAAAGGGTACGGGGCAATTCCTTCTCCGAGGCCGAGAAGAAGAGCCAGCCAGGAACACGGTGGAAGGGGTCGACACCGAAATCCTGAACGGATCGGCCACACGCCTGATGCTGCCAACCAGGAAAACGATGGACAAGGTCGACATCGAACGCCCGAACGGAATGGCAGCACGCAGGCTGGTGGGGACACTATTTGTCGGCAGCCGCGGCGAGCGCGCCAGCGGGGAGTCGAGTCAGAGCGGGCCGCGCAGCGACGAATTAAACCTAAAGCGGCGGGGCGGAGCCTCACGCGGCACCTCGGCGGCCAGGCCGGCGAGTGGAGTAAACTGGCGGTAGCTGCCGGGAAGCTGCGCTGCCAGGGGTGCTGGTGGGGATTTTTAGTCAGCGGCCGCAGGCGAGCGCGCCAGCGGCGAGTCCAATTAGAGCGGGGCGCGCAAAGACGAATTAACCTAAAGCGGTGCCGGAGCCTCACGCAGCACCTCAGCGGCCGGGCCGGCGAGTGGAAAAGGGCTGACAGCAACGGCTGGGGAGCTGCACTGCCAGGGTGCACGCATGCAGCGCGTCGCAAGCAGCTGGCTGCCAGGGTGAACGGCGGCCAGGGACTGCAATCTGCAAGGAAATTAAGTGCAAGAGCGTAGGCCCCCGTAGGACTACGGAAATACCAGGGTGGCCGCAGCCAAATGAACCGACTGCCACTGGTCGAATTGTGTGCCCAGTGGGGGCGTGAGCATCAGCAAGCTGCGGAGTACCAGGGTGGCCAAGGCCAGGAGGTCCAACAGCAGCGGAACGCACGAGTGCGACAGAGCAACCGAAGCTGCAGCGCGGCCAAAATGGCGCGCGTGCACCACGGGAGGAGCCGTGGAAGCAAGTCAGAGAACCAAAGCCGCGACCCGAGACCTGTCGGGTGCAAGATGTGGCGCCAGCGAAGTCGCGCACCAGAAGCCTTGAAGAGGGAGAAGCGCGCCCGCAGTCAGCACACCAGGGGCGGCGACAGACGTACACGGACACCGCGGGGTGAACACCAGCACTGAAACCGAGGTTGCGGCCGCGGCGCGGTGGAGCCACGGAAGTGCCCAGGCTGAACCACAGGCGCCCGTACCCCCCCCCCGAAAGGGTGGAAGGTGCGGAATGGGAGGCCAAGGCTGGTGGGGGACGACACCACCGAATTGGCGGGGAGACCGGGAGCCCAGCCGCGGGGGGGCCACCCTGGCACGGGAGGGCGCCCGCGGGCGCGGGGGAGTGACGCGCCAAGTGCGAAAACAACTACAGCAGGCCTTAAGGCCGTCGGGGGACAGGTGGACCACGGCCCCAGCAGCAGTCCACGAGCCAGTATTGTCAGCAGGCCGCTGCCCGTGTCCCCAAGGGCGGGGAGCAGCGGGGGCTGGGCAGGGAGTGGCACAAGGGAAGGAGCACTGCCTGCAAGTCCGGCGACGGCCACAGCGAAAAGTGCGGCCATTGCGTCTAGGGTGAATCAAACGGGGGCCGCCGACGCGGACCCTCGTCCCAGGCCACCATCCACTCGCGATGTCCGAAGACCATACCAGCGGTGGCTAACGGCCACTTCTTGCTATCTGTAACCGAAAGCGAGAAACCGTTGGCCTAACGGGCCCTGTTTTGAGTGAGAAGAACGATAATATCGAACCGCGTTCCTTCTCGGCCTAACGGGCCCTGTATCCGCTGGAAAATCTAAGACACAACCGCGGCGAGCTCTGCTGGCCTGACGGGACTTGCACCACTTGGAGGGGTCGGCTGTGGTCGGCTGCCCCCTGGGGTGCCAAGTGAGCGTCTGGTCTGATGCGTCGGGACAAGTCTGACTGGGCGGCCAGCGGGGGAGAGGGAGGCACGCCATGCAATGTGTCGACACTGCGAGCTGCCTTGGTAGCAATGGAACGGCCGCCCTGCCGACGTCTTCTCGCAAGGACCCCGGCTTTCATTGTAGTCTGCTCGCAAGGAGCGGCAGCGGCCGGCGGGAAAGCAACTGCGACGCCGCTCAAGGCGCCTACGGCCGCCGCCGCCGCCGCCGCCGGAGGGGAGCCAGCGGCGGCGGCGGCGGCGAGGGAAGCAGCAGCGGCGACGGCGCAGTGAGTTGGTGGGGATATTTTTTTAGTCAGCGGCCGCGGGCGAGCGCGCCAGCGGCGAGTCAGGTCAAAGCGGGCTACGCAAAAACTAATTAGGCTGAGGCGGCGCGAAAGGGCTACAACTACCGCGACAAGCCGAGGCCTCACGCAGCGGCCCAGCGGCGGGCGGGTGGCAGGAGGAACTGAAACAGAATGGAACTGCCAGCGTGCAAAGATGCAAGTACGTCAAAGGCGCCGGGAAGTCGGGGCTAGTGGGGATACTTTTTTGATCTGCGGCTCCAAGGACGATTCCAGAGAGCGGGTCGAAACAAGCTTGGGGCAACAAGCAAGATAATTGCCAGCGGGCCAAAAAAACAACGCCGGAATGCACGCGCGAGGAACAAAATGAACCTCATTAAGCCGAACCAAAACGGCAGCCGACGACGGACAGCGGGGCGTCGCACAGTGGCGCCAGCACCCGACAGACCGGACGGCGAAGGGCAGGGCACAGCGGGCAGCTGAAACCCTGGCAGAAGCCCGCCCGTGAAAGTGCACCGAAGGCGAGCAGAAAGGAGCACGTAAGCCTCACTCACAAAGCACCTCATGTGCTCGAAGCTTGGCCTTCACAGAACCAGGCGCCAGCAGACTTGACGCGAAGTCGAATAGAAACAGCACGGCATAAGGGGGGAACGTCACGTGGGCCAGAACGTTACCACCAACCGTCGGCTGTGAACTGCCGGTGGGCGAAGAATGGAGGCCGCCTGACCACCTTGCACCGCTGGAGTCCGAATCAAGGAGCCCTCCAGAGGAGGTCAACGTCGCTGGCAAGCTGCTGGCGGGACGCCAGACCGGTGAGCACGTCCCTGCCAGACTGCGCCCTAGGTGCAGGAAGCCGGTGTGGTCCGACCTGCCAGTGCCACAATGAGCGCACCCGATTGCGTGAGAACGAACACGTCGAAGGGCCGGCCACTGCAGTCGTCGTGAAGGAAGAGGGGGGGCGCAGCCGATAGCCGCAAATCAGTGAATACAAAGGAAGAGGAGGAGGAGGAGGAGGAGGAGGAGGAGGAGGAGGAGGAGGAGAGCCATGTGGCGACACAGACAGTCGAGGACCCAACATGGCGAGGTCGGAATGTAGTCAGAGGGAAGGCGCCTGCCTGGTGGGGGGGAAACGCCACCAGAGCAAGGTCACCAGTCGTCGGATGTGCAGCGTGTGGAGCGTGTGGGGCGGGCCTTAGGCCTGCGGCCCCAGCCATCCAAAGTGAGTGTCCAAGCGGGCGAGACGGGCCCATGTCCGTGTGAACAAGGCCATAGTGAACCGCGGGCAGGAATTATCGCAGCCATTACCACACGGACTAAGAACC